AAGTTCCTGTGCACGCGCGTACACATCTTTCTCTGTGCTTCACTCCTCACTGTCGGTCTCACACCCGGCCATCACCCCGGCTACGGACGTTGATATATCTGACATCTGGATCAACGCGTTCACTGCCCGCGTAGGTGCACCCTCGTCTTCAACGCAGTCGGTGAAGAACAAGTACGTCAGCATCGGTTCTCTGACCAAACTTCTCTCGTGTCCCGTCAACCCACTTGGATGCCTGGTCAGCACGGGGAAGCACGCCAAGATGTGTTCGATCTGACACATCTCCTCATCTTGGAGACTTAGTATTACATGCAAGACGAAATTTTTCGGAGATATGCTGATAGTGGTCAAGACGAGAAAAGCCTTGGAGGAATTTGGATGTCAGATTGTGGTACCGGGAAAAGATAATGCGCTGCTTTGGAAGGAGAGTATTCGTGCGCCAGGTTAATGATGCGGTTCGTGTTATGTCGTGAGGGTACTGACAATCCCGTCGTGTGGTGATTTTGTACACTTTTTTTGCTACGATGAGTCGTTCCACATTCTGTTTATATGTTGCTGACTCTTCGACAATAAAGATTGCATATGAGTACTGTCTGCTGACCCAGCTATTCTTTATGATACACCTCTGGGCACCCAAAAACGCCTGAATACAAAACAAAGCGGTGGTTGCAAGAATGCGAAAGTATTCCATAGAATACATCTTGATACTTACTGTGCTTCTCATGTTGGAACAGCTGACGATGGGAAAAGTTCTACCGCCATGAATGGATTTCCAACCCAAGGTAGACTTTGTTCGGTGAGAAAGGTACCTGGTGCAACTTCCATTCCCTATTGACAGATTCTTGAGTCGTATTGAGCATGCGCACGTTTGCTAGTCTGGCTAGTATTTCTGCCGGTGGTGGTAGCACTCTGCACAATATCAATGCCGTTCTATTTCATTTCATTGCCTCGTACTCTTACTTCTCGACAACTCTAAGTCCAATTCTGATGGTTCATCGAGCTCAAGTTTCACCGGGAAGATACTCAGCCCACTGGTACATATCCAAGAGTGCAACTGCAAACGAAGACAATTGGACCTACAAAGCTCTCATCTTTGGACTGCACCTCTCCAGTGCTGTCCTTGTTTTTAGCACAAAACCAAGACGTTACTTTCACGTAATATTGATCTCATAGGTGTTTCAAAGGCAACTACGAGCGTATAGACGGCCATTTTTAAATCAGATCGGCGTCTTGTATGCTCATGTGGTATCAGTAGTGTTCCTGGGGTGATGTAAATCGTGTATCCTGGCCATCCTGATTTTCTTTGTCTTTCTCTTGTCGCATTGCTCCTGTTTCTCGGAATCTGGTATCCTCTGGTTATGGTTTCAGGTTCAAGCAGACAACGGATTGCTGAAGAAATGATATACAAGACACTACTCCCTAAATTGTTGAGTTAGTCGACCTGAAGGTGTGATCATAGACGCTGGCCGCTTTCACCTTGAAAATTGAAAATATGACACTATCTTATGCCTCAATTACGCTAAGTGCCGCTCTGTTTTTCGGTAAATTATGGATTCATTACAGTGGAATTCCACACCCATAAAAATTATTAAATAGCGCCATGAAGTCTTCATTCCTTCTGCTGTTTTTCAGGGCACTGGCTCTTCGATTGTCTGGTGATGTAGTCGATCTTCTGATATTCTTCTGTATTACCGAGGGCTCCAAAAAATGCCTGAATTCCAAAAGAGTATCTGGATGTGACAATAAAGATCCGAGTGAGTCCCTTGAATACAGCTTGCGGTGCTTTCATATGCAAATAGCTAACATAGATGAAGTTCTACCGTTCTGACAGGACATTAATAGCTGAAGCCCAAGGCTGACATTGTTCGATGAAATGTACCTGGTTCGACTTCTATTTCTCTAGCGACAGATTTGCTGAGGTTTGAGTACTGGAAGCGAATGAAAATAGCACCTTGTTTAGCCGACATGTTGGGAACGGTAAAGAAAAGAATAGTACAAGATGGTAAGTGATACGTTCAGAGTTGGTTAATCCCCACCACTCATACATTCACCAGTAACTTCAATAAGATTTTTATATGTTAATGAGTCTTCCTCCCAGTGATGTGCAGTGACGCGGCTGACGCCGGGAGCACCGCACCACAACATGACAGTGCCCATCCTACTTTGTTGCCCATACTTCTTTACATCTTTAATGCCGACGATGATTGTTCCTCAAAACCAAACACCACGGCAAGGTATTCGAACCATGTACAGATTCAAGCAATGGAACGGAACTGGCAAGGACATCGGGCCGGGATCGCATGGCATTCAGGGCGGACGTCAGGCTTGGCATAGATTCCCTGTTTGGACCAGTACAACCTTACCCATGAACGCTGTAGCGCTGTTCCCTCTCCTCTGGACCGTGCGAGGTGGTCCCGACAGCTCAATTATTTTCACTTTCTTTCTCTAGCTCTTCCCTTGCGTTTGTCGTTGACGACCAGAGACATGCTTCCTCTCGTAATAAGTAGTTGATGCCGTATTGATTATCCGCTGCAAGCGCAACTACAAGAACTTATGATACGAAGACAGCTATTCTCATGGCACTTGATCGGTATCTTAAAACCCATGACAGTATCAGTGTTCCTGGAATGGGGGAAATAGTATACCTTGGTCTGCCTGCTTTTCTTTGTCTTGCTTTCGCCACGTATCAGCCATTTGCCTGGATTCTGGAATTCTCTATTTCTGTCACTTCAGGAATGTGTGCATATGGTGACTCGAACTTCGATGGACTCGCGATTTCATCACTTGCGGAACCAAATATCTCTACACTGTCATGGCTAGCCTTCGTAGAAAATGGTCGCTAGTATATAACCTGTCTTGACAGCTTGAGTTAGCTTCACAGGATATTTCCTCGTCTTTCTATCATCCACTCAAGCGGAACAGAATATGCGCACTTTCGCTACCAACTTTTTCTCTACCGTATTCCTTGCTGTACTCCTTGTCAAGGCTGCGCCCAGCCCAGCCTATTCAAAGGGCTCTACTCACCAAGTCAAGACCATCGGTCGCGACTTGAAGGTCGAGAGCTACCATCCGACGGCGTCATATAAGGTAACTTATCTGCGTTCATCGATCAATTTTTGCAAGTCTGATAGTGTCTTGTAGACTTATGGAGAAGGGAAGGAGGTCGCCTCGTTCGTTAACGGTGACCTACAGACATCTACCATTTCCTTTGTCGCCTCAGAGCTCGGCATTGATTCTTCCGCCATTGCCTATAGCTCTGGCCACACTGCAGAGAACGGAATGAGCTACGCGTATGCGAAGCAGTATCATGTACGGCATCCTCTCTCCTCTTACGAGGTCACTTGTTAATCTTTTGCAGGACGGGGTTCCTCTGGCGAACGCCGTTGCGAATGTGGCTTTCAAGAATGGCAAAGCAGTTGTCTTTGGGTCATCATTCGTGGATACTTGTAAGTTAACTGGACTTTTGTCTTCCTTTCTACCATTGACGCCGTACATAGCAAACATAGCATCATCCGAGCCATCCATCGCTATCGATTCAATTATTAGTAAGGTTGAGGACGTGCTTTCTGCCACCTACAGTGGGGTGAACTCGCTCGAATATCTCGTCCAGTCGGATGGGTCTATTGCACTCACTCATGTAGTTCAAGTCCGAAACGTCACCACCAATGCAGGCTACGAAGCATTTGTTGATGCGCATTCAGGAGATATCCTTGCCCTCACTGATTTCCTCGCTGAAGCTACGGTAAATCTTCCGCCATCTCTTGCTTTCAGAAGTCTGTCTTATGCATCTACAGTACACGGTGTTACCTATAACTAAACAGAACGTGTTGGAGGGCGAAGAAACTCTGGTCGATCCCGAAGACCTTGATTCTTCTCCCATAGGATGGGTACAGAACGCTGAGACCGCGTTAGTCTTTCATTTCAACACTTCAGAGTAAATTCACTTACTGTTCGATAGCGGAAACAATGTCGTGGCCTATAAGGGAACTCCGACGAATACGACTGTTGAATCATCCACCGACATGTTTGATTACCCATATGATGTCGACTTCGACCCAACGGAGGGAGGTAACATTGACGCAGCCCGTACCAACGCCTTCTATATCATTAATAAAGTCCACGACTTCACGTACAAGTATGGCTGGACTGAGTCGGCGTATAATTTCCAATTGGACAATTTCGGGAAGGGAGGAGCTGAAGGAGATCGTGTGCAGATGTCCGTACAGGATCCTTCAGGATTCAATAACGCTAATTTTCTGACTCTTCCCGAGTAAGTTTGCCTTTGAATCCTTTGAGAAACGTGCTCATTTTGTGTCAGCGGTCAGAACGGTACTTGCCGCATGTACATTTTTACTTTGACTACCCCCCGTCGTGATGGAGACTTTCAGAATGATATCATCGTTCATGAGTTTACGCATGGTCTCACTAATCGTATGACTGGCGGCGGAACAGCTCGGTGCTTGCAGATCACTGAATCTCGGGGTTTGGGTGAAGGTGCAGTATCTTAGTATCTAGAAAGCTCCTTTTTTGACTTTCATTACTCTCAGGATGGTCTGATGCGATGGCAGAGTACGTCGATCGAATTCCCTCTCCTTTTGATCATGAAACTTATGCTAAACTTTTAGGTGGACGGAACAAAAGAGCGGGAACATCACCGACTTTGTAACAGGAACCTGGGTCTTGAACAATACTGCCGGTGTACGCCACTTCCCATACTCCACAGATCCTGCTGTCAACCCCCTCCGTTACTCGTCACTTGCTTCACTCTCCGAAGTTCATGGTTCGTCCTCTCTGTAAAAATTAAACTGCGTGCTAACGGAGTCATGCCCAGATATCGGGGAAGTATGGGCTAACATGCTGCACAACGTATATGCGGTGCTTGTTGAAGCGCACGGATGGTCGGCGACTGCTATGGACGATGCGTCTGGGTCAGAAGGAAATGTCGTTTACCTCCATCTTTCATCGATGCACTTGCCCTGCAGCCTTGCAATCCTACCTGTAAGTGCTCACCCACGTTTCTTCAAATTGAGTTTGATTCATTGAATTTGAATTGTAGTCGTGAACGCGCGCGACGCCTGGATCCAAGCTGACGTGAACGGCTACAATGGGGCCAATTCTTGCATCCTCTGGAACGCGTTTGCGAGCCGTGGTTTGGGAATGAACGCTGCGAACTACGTCGATGATGAGACTGTTCCTGACGGTTGTTAAGCACGGAGGTCAAGAACGATTAACATTGTCGGCATATGAGTGGTCGAACGATTAATTACAATTGAATAACGTCTTGAAGTTCTTTGTATGCGCATTCTTTAATGTTTCATGTTGTTTGTTCCAATCCGGTTCCTGGGATACTACAGTCATCTTCGTTGAGCGCTTTGATTGATGCCTTTCTTGCGTTGCCGAACCGTTCTTTGTTCCTTTCCGAGTTGTCTATATCGGTCCTCATCAAGGTTGTAGATGGCAATTTATTGCTACAGTTGCTACCCCTGCATTCAAGACATTCTCTGCGGTTCGTGGGGTAGGTATCAAAATCAGACGCGTTCCCATGAAAGATGTAAGGGACCTATGGGTGGAGTCACATGAAGCAAATGAATAGCACACGTCGGCTCAACATCAGCGAAGGCATTCGTCTTTGAGGTAACAATGCGACTAGCAAGGTCTCATATCATTCGGATACAGTACGGAAATAAATAGGACGCACCTAGTATCTCTAACTTCGAGCTCTGGAGCCAGATCCCAAATACTGCGTTGATTAGGTAATAGGACACTTTCTTTTGTCGCATTCCTTGTGTGCAGAAGTTTGGTAAGAACTGCAGGGGACAAGTGAATGGAGCAAACGACATGAAGTGAAAATGACACACTTCCATGCGTTTTTGACCGGCTACTACTCGAGATTCGATGGATTGAAACTTGGAGGCTCGTCAATATGAATGGGATCACAGAATACACGATTGGTACCAAAATAGTCCTGCAAAGCCCTGTCGGTCTTTTAGGCTTGGCGTATCGCGTGTTGGATCCGTTCGTACAACTCTGCACGAAACAGTTTATTGCATCCTCTTTCCGGGACGACGACGATTCGTCGGAATGGCAAGGCTTCCTGTTTGGCTTGCAGAATTATGTTCCAGTCTTGGACCATCTTTGAGATCAGAATCGAAGCCGAACAGTTTCACACCTTTGGCCGAGTCGAGGCCATTTTCTTATCGGGTAACTGGGTATTCGTTTCTAAGGGTATGAGTGAAGGAGGCGAACAACATGCAGAGAAATTAGGCACCTCCTGTGAGTTTTCCGACTGGTTGTGGCTCAAGATTTGATAGCTCGAAGCTTGGAAACGCGTAAATTTAAATTGGCATAGCAGAACATATGACGCTTCGTACCCAGATAGTTCTCCGAAGAACTGACGGTCCTCCAGGCTTGGGTCATTGTATCCTTTTACTGGGACGATGACGATCTGTCGAAATGGTGAGGCTTCTTATCTGGATTGAGGAAATATAGGCAGTCTTGTATCGTCTCTAATCCCAGAATCGAAATATTGGAGTTTAACGTCATCTTCCAGACATAAGCCATTATCTGAAACTTCCCAGAATGACTCGGAAGAAATGCCCATCATCTATTCATTTTGACATATCGCTCGGAACAGTCCGGATATTTCTGATTCCCGCATTACTCGTGTTCCTTCCTCACCCACCATTCTTAACCACATTCTCCTTTCAGTCGTCCATACCCTTTACGACTCTCACGGAATCGAACGTGATATCCTCTCCCTAAGCTATCCACACTGCAGTGGTGACTTCGATCCTGTAAACGAAGAGACGCAGGAGGGAAGGCTTTTAATCTTACCAAGGATGTCTTGCAAGAACCATCTTCGCCGGCCATCATCGCGAAGGGGGTATAATCCTACTAACAAGTTCGAATCTCCTGATTGGCAGGTAATACTTCATGCATGGCATGTTCATTTTTGTTGACCGACAGAAATGGGAAGTCAGATCTACCGTAATATTCCATTTTTCACGTAGAAAGTCAGAGTAAGAATAAAACCACGATGCCACACTCAAGCATGATTCAAAGACCACCTCCTAGGAAAGAACTGTAGCAATGGAACCACGAGAGTCGTCTTGCGTTGGAATACCACTGTCAACCACCGGTTAGTGGTAACGTGTCCCCAAATGGGATGATTCGAATCCCTCCATCGGCAATTAATATTCTCCTAGGAAAGCAAACTTTATTTTCTCCCCACGAGTTTCGTGCACTCCTCGCTTCTAATGAGATCTTCCTACCAGTACCTTTCGTACTCGTTTGCGAATGGGTGACTTCTTCTATATTGACTTTGCGGTATTAGCTAGTTGATTTCCTGCCTGGAAGTAGAACGACCAAAGTTGGATGTTCGGTGCCTTGAAAATGTCGCGCTTGATAAAGTGATCATCATTCATTAAATTGAGATTGAGGTCTTGGACGAGTGGTTCAAATCCGAGGAAGTATACTAGGCGGTTCGAATCTGTCTTCTGACAAAGCCTGAAAACCAAACCAACAATCCCTTTTTGAGGGTCTGTGGATGCTGTTATGGTATTCTGGTAATATCTCAGGTATCCCTCTCGTCTTCCTTCCCATATCATTACCTATCAAAGACAATATTCCATTTGACCCATATGCGCTATATTTACCTCTTTAGTTTACTGCGCTGCAGCGACGCTACTCATACTGAGTCGCATAGTACCTCCTGGAAGATAGAAGAAGGTTCTAACATTACAGGTATATATACGCTCAGCAGCTCATGTATTAACCACCTTACAATTTACTTTGCAGTCTACGTATTACCATTGAGTCACGAGTGATCTTGAGTGCTTGCTGAACATTCGCAGTTAATCCGCTTATCAAATACTTAAACTTTCCCTTCCGAGGTAAAGTTGAACCCATTTTCATTACGACTACCTACGTGTTATACAAGTATCCTTCTCACGATAATTCCTGACCCGCAGATTAGTCTCAACTACAACAGATGCCGCATGTGTATAAGGAGTCAGGGACTTTTGTTCGTTTGACTAAACTGTCAGTGCGCAAAGTCCGGCTCATATAAAAGAGCAAGCGAAAACCATCTGACAGATTCTAGATCCAAGTCCACGTCGGGTGATCTACCATTGACCAACCAGAGCCTCTGTTCAAGTTTCGTTGTGAGTGCAGTATTATTTAGGGCCGGAGTGAAAGCGTTGACTGCCGACGTCGGGAATTTCAATTTCGGGCTTCCTTTCTCTTACTTACTCAACCTTAACGCGCCCAGCTCTATGCGCTACAGTCGAGTCCGCACCGACGAATATCATCGACCCCAGCCCCTCTATACTGTGATGCGAAGCATGAAGAGACCAGAACAGTCGTCTTGAATGTGTATCCACAACCGTTGTTCATCTGGGTGTCATGATAGTGGGTGGGATCTTATTTATCTGTGGATTTTACTGGTTGCTGACCCAATTATGAAGCAACATCAGTGACAAACATCGATGAATCTCTTGCCTCATTGCCCCTCCGGCACAGGCTCCTAATTAGCATCTTCCTTCCATGTCGGGCCCTGGAAGGCATTTAACCTTTGTATGGACGCCGCGGACACGTAGCTGAGGAGCGTGGTCTATTTTATATCCAAACGGTTCAGAGGACAAAGAGTGTCATTGTAATTTGTGGGATAAAGATCCATTCATGCTAGTGAGTCATTGCCTATGTGGCTAAGCTCATTTCCGATTCTAAAGCACTTCCTGTCATCCCCCCATTTCAGGTAGGTTAGTCGGCGTCTCTTCATTTTACTCTCCTTCCTCGGTAACAGTGAGACTAGTAGGGTAGCTTTCATTTAGATACAGCACAGACACAAATAGAACGCACCTAGTGTCTCTAACTTCGAACTCTGGAGCCAGATTCCAACCACCAAGTAAATCAGGTAACTGGATTTTCGTTTTTGTCCAGTTTACGCTGGGCACAGAATTATGTTGAAAGCTGCAGGGGTATGATTGAACGAGGCGGACAAAATATTGCGAGATGACGCACCTCCGTGAGTTTTCGATGGCTCGAAGCTTGGAAAGGCGTCAATTTAGGTGGGATGGCAGAGCATACAACGTTTCGTACCCAGATAGTTCTCCGACGAACTGACCGACTTGTTGACTTGAGTCATCAAGTATCGTATCCTTTTATTGGTATGACGACAATCCGTCGAAATGGTGAGGCTTCCTATCCGGCTTGAAGAAATGAACCAATCTTGTACCACCTCTGAGCCCAGAATCGAAACCTTGGAGTTTAACGTCTTCTTCCAGACATAAACCATCGTCTGAACATTCCAAGAACGACTCGGAGGGAATGTTCGTCACGATGACTGTCTTTGGAAACATAACAGAGCGTCTCTTTCAATTCTTTTCTCTAATCCGCTCGCTGACGGAAAATAACACGAACAGTATGTCCGCGTCATTCGTTTTCTTCGCTATTCGAACATCGTCTCTTACCGCTGCGACGGTGGAGACTGTGCTCGGCGTCATCACCTTCGCCTGCTCGTCACGTCTCTCATCTTCCTCCAGCATAAAAGGCAGGGGAATACTTACAATAGAGGCTGTCAGGAATATGTCCTCTGCACTACGCCCAGCTAGGATTTCCTGTGACAAAGTCAGGACTAGCCGGGAGTGCATCGCGATAGAGGAAGAGAACTTGAGTCAAGAATGTTCCGTAGTGACAGTCGATGATAGTATCAAAAATGCATCACCATCTTCCGCATGGTTACGCATCAGCAAGCCCAAGGGTTGAAAGGGTTGGCAACAGTACCAGCGAGATTATGATTCTAGAGACGGTCTCCACTGATTGGCGGTAACAGAACCATATTGTTCGGTAGCACCCTTTCCAGTATGGCCTTGAACGATCATATTTTTCGATATAATGCGTTGTACGGGACGAAATTATTATGATTTTGAGGGTTATTCCAGCCCACACTAGGCGGTTTGAGTGCAAATGAATGCTGTAGTACCCGAGCAAACATCTGTATACAAGGAAGTTAGATTGACAGCTAGGAACAACATGATTAGAACGACGACATACCCTGCAGAATACAGAAAACCAGTTTAACTCAGAAAAGAAATCACCAACGTTGCCGCTTCTTGCATAACGCAAAGCCTTAATACAAAGTCCACAGTGAAAATAAATTCAATCGAAAAAATGCGCTACATCGGTGCTCGATGAATATTTTGAGGTGATACATATAAAATAACACATAGTCCATGGCCCACCGCGATAACCGCTACTGTTTCTTCTTCTTTAGTGCGCTCGCCTTCCCACCACTACTCGGTGGTACCTTTCTCTTACCGGAGTCACCATCGGCCTTCAGCCGCAGCCCGACGGGTGCACTGATACATTGGGGGCAGAACCATTCACCCTCCGGCACGGTCGTCAGAGGAGGGGTGAGGCACGATAGATGTTACTGGTTGTCACACTAAATTACTTCTATCAGTACTGGAGGAAAGAGAAACTAAAACCTCCTCGACATGCCTTATCACACTCTGGCGCCTCCTCTTCGTCTTCCTTCCGGCATATGACGCAGGCATCGCTCACTTCGACCTAGACAGGATGTCGTGGTAGCTCGCCTCATCTTGTCGGACGGCCGAACGAGGAACAGAGTCATACTCTGTCCCGGCGTGACAGACAACATATCGAGGCCAACCAGTAACTGGTGCTTGATGGGTTTTGTAGCCGATTTCGGCTCAGACGGTCCTAAACCGAGTTCACCTATCCAGACATCAGTATCAAAGTTTAGTAGGGAAGGAAAGGAAAGCCTTCACCATTCGCAGCATTCTTCCCCCCATGAAATAGTCGTCACACCCTCGCCCTCGTCATCTGGAGTCAACACCCAATGCGTCACGCCTCCTGACGTGGCAGAGGTAATTTTTCAACCTGTTATGTCGGGCATGCACCGGAAGCTGCTATACGGCGAGCCTGACTACTCGTATCCGAAGTTGTTCCACTGGCCAATCGTCAGTACCACGGTATGAGGTTAACAAAAACTGTGCGCACCTGGCCCGTCATCCAGTACATTCCACCCTTATCGGCAATGACCAGCACGCCTGCATTGTCTCCAGTAAAATGCGGCGTCTTCTTGGGTCGGAGCGCATCGACCTGATTGCCCTGACCAAGACGACAGCAGCCGTTGTAGCCCCAAACGTGAACGGTACTGTAAAGAGCAGTCAGCGAGGGAGAAAGACCGCGGAAGGTCTCGAAAGAGACGAATAAGGACGAGCTCTAAACGGAGGCGAAGATACGTGAAGAGGGCATAGGCGACACAGTGAAGAAGGGAAGGGTTCCAAGGCAAGAACGACATGAATCACGTACCCCTTCTCGTTCGGCGCAATCGAACGCTGCTGACCTGACGACAGCTGCATAATCTTCTCAGGCCCAAAATTCTTCACAACACAGGTTCGTAAACAATGTCGAACATCGTCTTTTTCCCGTCTTGATACGCTCGCCAGCCGTTCCGTTGCAGGACTGGCCTTTCTCGTCGGAACCAAAGGCATAGACTACAGAACACGACGTTAGCGTCAGAGAGAGGGAGATAAGAACAATGGAGACGTACCCTTTCCACCCTCAGTCAGAACGCAAGAGAACGTCACTCCCGCTGACGCCTTGACAGCTTGTTCTTGACCTTCCTCAGTACCAAAGAATGGTATGCGCTTGAAGGAAGGTATCTCTGGACTCGGCGAGTGTTCAAAGCCGCCTTTTAACTCAAGGATATCAACGTACAGTCAGGTACAGAAAGCCCAGCTATCACTGTCAGCAATAAATGAGTTCTGTGTTGTACAGTATGCATGTTGCATCCCAGAACGGTATGTGAATCGCAGGACATAGAAGGAGAACCTCTATGAAATAAGTGTGGCTGCCCGCCGAGCTCACCTATGCCAATGTCAAATGCTTGCTACGCAGATTCTGAGTCTATTTTGACTGGGAACCACCCTTTCAGCGATGAGGGACACATGTACGTTCCATATATCTACGCGAAGATTCAGTGAATGAATCTACGTAAAAAAGAAGGGTGCGCACTCACGAGTTTCGATATGACCCCCTACTACCAATTGGAATAATGTAATGCGGACCTTCGTTATTTTCTGGCTTAACCACGTAGAGGATGTTGGTAGTCCTTCAATCGACGCTAACTGTAACCTTCACAGCGGTCTGCACGGCCGGGCCAATGTTGGAGGAATAGGCTGTTATGAGGGAGTGCGTCGTGTGAGTCTTCTGGAGCATATAAGTATCCTTCCTCGGCTTCATCGAATCGGAACATTGACCCTTCTCCAGCGTCAGAACGCTACAATGAAGGATGAAAGTGACGTACCACCCTCAAAACTTCCTGCTTCTCCGTCCCTGACACAAAATGCGAGTTCGATCGTACAGATCACCAAAAAATGACACTGGGGCTTTGATGACGCGAAATGGGCCAGTGAAGTTGGGACAGCTATATCTCCCGATAGTTTGTTGGCCGATGTCGGGACAAGGCCTCGTGTCAGGTTCATGGTGTAACGTGTAACTTCGATTGAAGAAATTACGGGATGAAGTGGGACAGAACGGTGAAGTGGGAGCGCGATAAGGGTTACGAGAAAACCCTTGATCGAAGCCGTTGAAGGTACCCCGGACACCAAATGCGCACGGGCCTGCTACGCGATTGTTTGGCACCCTAGAGAGACAAACAAAGCGCGCTTCTTTCCTTTTCGCCTCCATGCTACTCACTTCTGCTCTCTCTTGAAGACTGCCGACCAGTTTACGAAGTGGATCAACAATGGTAATCAATTTTTGCGGACTTGGAACAGTGAGGCTAATTTGCCGTAATTAGGTTCCTGCGCTCCACCTGCTGACTGCCTTCCCTTGAACAGGAATATGCAGACCTCGATCTCACTATGAGCTGTCTGGGAGTCGAATTCCTTGCCAGGATGATGTGTTGCTTTCCGGTCAGCACGGGCCACGCAAGGTGGATTACGAGCAGCGCAAGCACACCAGCGAGAGCAGAAGCGCATTCTTTTCCTGCGCCTGACTAGACGAGGATCCCCATATCACACGCAAGATCCAAAGGGTTTCGTGTTCTGGTCCTCATTGCTGCTTCCTACGCACTCTCCCCACTCCCACCCGTCTGAGCGCTTTGCTGAATGTAGAGTGGCCATTTGTGTTCCGACGTGACATGTCTTGACTCGCCCCGATCGTGCTCAAGGGATTGACGCAGTGGCGAGATCAACACGAGGAACGAGGAACAGGAGTGCATGGGTATTCGAGGTGTTCTCGATGAACCGTTGAACGAGAGGTTAAGCCTAAGGGTGAAAAGGTACGTTTTCATTTGTCGAATCGTTGGTTTTAAGGCTCATACAGTGGTTCTATTATTGCAGGTTGAATGAGAAGCGTCCCTGCCGAGCAGTGAGACCGGTAGAATTCAATCTGGTGTCTCTCCAAGTGATTTTTATTCTTATGATACATTTTCATCACTTTGACAACGACTAGGGAGGCACCTACCAGAAACCCTTGTTCACCCCCGTTTATCGTCCATTCGACTCTCCTATTGAAAACATTGTACACTATAAGATTCATGATTTTTTCTGTCACTCGTTCGCTCATGCATTCATATATATTGATCACTGCCAAGCGCTAGGAACGCGCGCTATTGTCCTTGTTCAAAGATTACTTGTCGCCCATTGTCAATCATATCCGTAAGAAGCTAGCTAGATCGCTTCAAGGTACATGATGCCTTCTACGCCCCTGAATCCGATATAGCCTTCCTGTTCACGTATTAACTCCCCCGGCTCCTTCGACAAAATCACAACGGCAGACATATCTGCGGCATCGGGAGCGTCATCCGTCACCTCAAATCAGAAATCGCCTACCTACACACAAATCGATGCTTCCAGTCACATTCGAACAAGTGTGAACGCCCATCCGCCGTCTCCCACGAAAACTGCTTCTGTCAACGTTCCGTCAATTGGAACACGGTCCCAGGTCCGAGTTGTTCAAAGATCAGAAACCGCCCGTTCTCTGGTGGTGTGCTTGTCATGGCGCGACGCTGGGGTCTGCAATGCGCTCTGACTGTTTGTACGTTGTGCTTGCATCGGAGTGTGCCCAGGACGTCTCACACACGTCATCGTCACCGGCTCTACCATCCCAGCAGTCGAAGACCGATTCAAACAAACCTTGTGCTTGAGAAGTTCGATTTACGGCTGTTCTTAACTCTGCTAGCGTCTCTACAGGCGCCCCGCCTACATACCCTCAGCATTAGCCGACTCTACAACACGCCTTTTTGCGTGTTCCCCCCATTCTGCCATAATCATACCATACTACGAGGTCAAGCTCCTCGAAGATACCAATTATGAGCTCCCTTTTTCCAGTCGACCCTCAGGGCTTTGTGCATAGGATCCCACCCAGTTTAGACATATCGAGTAATCTTTTCAAACGCATTATCCTTACCAATGGCGTGCATATCCTTCCTGTGCTTCATGGCCCTCACTCTGCCTCACCCGTAATCATCCCAGTTACAGATGTTACGTTAATATCCTGGACAACCATCACTGTCCGTTGTGGCGGGTGCTCATCTTCAGCGACTACATCACTATTCACTTTCTCCTATTGACGGCTTGGATCCCGTCGTCAGAAGGGGACACGCATACATTCGCTCAATTTAACAGATTCACCTGGTCGTAAGCAATGAGGGCATGTACGCTACTCTCGATTCCGACCTTCTTTCATCATCTCGAGGACTTGAGGATCATGTGCAAGATCGAGAGGATGCTAGGGATGGTCAAGACGAGGAAAGGCTCGAGGAGCTTGGATGTCAGGAGGTGGTAGGGCAGTTTCGGAAGGAGCGTTTGCATGGGTACGCATTTCTCTACCTCCGCGGTCTCATCGTTTCACCGAATGTAGAGTGATCGTTCTTGTTTTGAGATGAGGCTCATGTTGTGCTGTGGGGATGGACGTGTTGGTGGTATATAGCAGGTAAACGATGGATGGGAGGGAAGAGGTACGTGCTCGTTTGTCGAGTCGTTGATTTTACCCCGCTGACACTACTCTTGCAGGATATCGAGCGTTCGTGACAAGTTGGAATTTGATCAGGCATCTTTCCAGGTACATTTTTCTCCTACAATGCATCTCCATCGCTTTGACGACTACGTGTAGTCATTACATTCGTAGTCAAGGCACGAACAAAGACAACAACCAGGGAGTGAACCAACGGATGTGTTCACCCCCGTATATCAGACGTTCGCCTCTCCCATGCACACCGTAAGATTGCTGATTCTTTCTGCCATTCAATCATTGATGCATTCATAGACCACCGACAAGTCCTATGAACGTGCTCTTCTGACCTTATTCAAAGATTTAGTTGTCTCCGGTTGTCAATTGTACGTACGTCGCCAGGATTCCATGAGACGCTAGCTAAATCGTTCTCGGCTCGATTCAGAAGTGTCCTGCCTTCGCACAGAAGTTGACAATTCCAGTCACACTCCAACGAGATCACACTTTGTGCCCGCGTATCTACTGCCTCTAGTTAGTGTTCCGTCAATTCGATCGCAATCCCATTGTTCTCTGGTAGTGTGTTTGTCATGGCGTGACCTTGTTGGACACATGCCGACAGTGTGGTCTGCAACTCGCACACTCTGGATCTTCCGCCGAAACACTTGAAGATTGTATTCCAACAAACCTTGCGCTTATGTAGGCTCGTAGCCACGGAGCAACACTAGAGAACTCAATCACACGAAGTGCGAGGAACGAGCTCTGTAAGGACGTCGAGATGAGACAGGTGATGGTAAGCTAGAGAGAGAGAATCGTATGCTACTGCCTATCTGAGTATCCCGGAAGTAGCCGGTGAGTAACCGGAGTCCCTGGTTACAGCTTAAGAAGCTTTATTTGCGCTTCTTCTTGAATCTGCTCACCTCTCTCCGCTCTTCGGGTGCCCTCGCCTCCATACCCTTAATATTGGTCGACTCTACAACACACCTTGTAGCGTGTTCCCCTCCCTCCCGACTCTACCCAGCTTATCACCTTCCTCAACGATGGCAGTCAGCTTACCACTTCGAGTCGACTGTCAGGTTTTTGTGCGCAAACGCCTACCCAGTTCAAACATACCAAGGAAACTCTTTCTCCTCACCAAAGTACCCGTACGCTTGCATGCATATCCTCCCCTGTGGTTCACGCCCTCACTCTCGATCTCTCACCCCATCACCACACCAAGGGATGTGAACAACGGTCACTATCCGCGTGTGCGCACGTTTGTCTTCAACGATGCTGTCAGTAGTCGTTCTCTTGCCACTCATCTCGTGCTTCCGCGAACGACTTAGAACTGAGAGCGTGTACGGCGCGCCCTATTCAACACATCACTTGCTTTGCCTGGTTGCAAGTAACGGCGGCATATTGCGCTCGATTCGGACCTTGTTCCCCATCTCGAGAACTTGCGGATCGTGCGCAAGACAGAGGGGACGCTGGGAATGGCCAGGACGGGGAAATTTCTGAGGGATTTGGATGTTAGGGTCGTGGTATGGGGAGACTATAAAACGCAGTTCCGGAAGGAGAGTTTCCGTGGGTTGACGATGAGGTTTCGGGTGACGTAGTGTGGGGACTATTGAGAGGTGTTCAGCCTTCTTTCGCAGTTATTTTGTGGGATTTACGTAGTAGCATTTCCCACTTGGAGAGCGTACTACTCATAAATCAGCATCCTCATTCCCTAGGTCGGATATCAAATACTAGTGGATGTTACCGCTCAGACGTCGCCCTGTAACAATGCCTTCATATTTGCGGAATGAGATTTGACCTGGTTATGTCTTTGGGAACGAGTCCAGGCTGTTTGAGGTCGTTAGCAGTGTTGGAGACCGAAATTTGCCCGCATATTCATGTGACCTATCAGAGTCTCGGATGATCAGACAATATTTCAATCGAAGCATGAATTAGGACGGGTCAATTCCTGGGACGAGGATTGCTCGTATGTTAACATCCTACACTTAGAGGCTCTGTACGTCACCTTGAGCTTGGTACATTCAAGTATTACAGATGCCCCAACCAAGGGGGTACTGGAATTCCGGCCCGGCACACCGGGTAGGTAGGTAGGTCCAGCCGGAGGTCACGAAAAAAAAAAGTTGACCACCATTTTGGGGGTCTAAAAATGGACTTCAAGGGTAAATTTTAGAGCATACATGATACAATATATGCTACTGAGTGTGCTACTTACCTTAGGGCATCATACCTAGCGATACCAACACTCAGTCAATGCCATTGCAAAGTGGCCCTGCTGACTGGACATGGTGACATTACGACATCCCATTAGAGCACAGCCATGATTTAGACTTGATAGCGTACAGATTATGTTCAAAACACTTTCAATATTAATATCACGGCTATTTCAGGCAAAATATTCACCGAATTGAGTCGAAAGATACCCAAATTTAGCATAATGACATCATAAATGTCACGTGAAGGTAGGTAGGTCCATCGTCGGTGCACGAAATTATTTAATCGACCCACTGTCTTTTAATTCATTATTAGGACCCCCTTGGCCCCAACGTAACGGAGTCTATCCGGATTATCATTGAATTCGGGATATCCGTTAAAAACACAGTGCACACATAAGCAGCTAAAATATTCTGTTCAGAGGACGAAGCGGTAGGATCCAGAAGCACTACGCAAACCAGACATATATCGCCGTAACCAGTATACATCTCTGGTACACGTCGTGACTGTCCGTTTACAAGCTACTCTGTCGTACTTGCAGATACCATGTCCGGCAAGCGAAAGAAGCATAAACGTCTAGGGACTGATTGTTTCTCCCTGTATTGATACGTTCAATGAGAGAATGAACCAGTCCGACTGCGACTGGGTGACGGACACGTCCGGAAGACAAGTGTTTTTGAGAAAGACAGGCACTTTCTTCTCCTACAAGTTGATTACTCAGTTATGTCCAGTACGGCGAGGAAGAATGCGCAGAGATCCATATGCCCGAAACTAAGATACTCGATCCTTGCTTCGTTATGAGTGTTTTACAAGACCTTAACCGGCCGACATTGATTTCAGTCCCTTCATTTCTGGGCCAAACCACCGTCGAGAACGTAAATCATGGGTGAGTGATTGGTCGTGATGCTTTATCTACGGAATTAGGATCTTCCGCAGTGCGGCTGATGGGGAGCTGTGACACACTTTGATGGTCCGGGCGCTAGTCTGTATAGCTTGCTTCTTACCCAGAGGACAGCACAAGTAACAGCTTTGGTGAAACCAGAACTTGGTATTCACCTGAGTACATCGTCTCTGGACATTGGTATGTGTGGTTGTCTGCCTTCGATCCATTGTATCCTTATTCCGCTACCACTAGGAAGAAAGCCCGGGATGCATTGGGAGGAATCGTTGGATGAGGAATCTGTAGCCTGGAAGTGGTTGCAAAAAGTAAGCACTTCAATGTGTGCACAGAAAGGCAAGGAATAACACATTTCAGGAAGTTTCTCCATATATCCAATATCAGAATTTCCCCAAGGTCACACTCTCCGCCCTCACTGAGACCGGTCAAACAGAATCAACCATTCTGGTGCCGATGCAACGCTCATACACTGGTATCAAGCCTATCATACGATCTGCTCTCGCCAACACCCCCTGCGCCGACCTCGGTGTGAATGGGGTCTTGAAGGAGCTCAATGCAACACTCCTCACATCATATACTCTCCACAACCCCACCTTGTCATCCATTCTCGAATCCTTCATCAGACAAGATTATGACTTTGGCACTCTCTATGCTAATTTGCGTCCATATTGGTATGACCTGAATCACTTTACTAGTGTCAAACGCATCCACCGATCATGGAACAAGGATCGGGAAATGCGACAGAATATAGTCACCAATGACAGGATCTCTAACGGAAACATTGTACCCCGGCGTGTCTGGGATCTGTTTGCTAATCGTGTGGTACCATTCTGGGTTGCCAGGAAATGCTGGTGGGTGATATCACATGCTTGGATGTCTGACAAGGACCGCATCGATGTGTGGACGCCTATCAATGGCTATGAATGGCCTGTGCCAATTCCCAAAGATGCGGACCTCAATCTCATCTGGATAGAGATGTTAAACATGGGAGCAGAATATGTGTGGTTGGATGTTTTGTGTTTGAGGCAAGCAGGTGGGCAGAGGGAGGATCTACGCAGAGAAGAGTGGAAGGTTGACGTTCCCACCATTGGAGCTATCTATCGCAATGGCAACAGGAAGGTGGTGTATTACCTCAGCGGTCTGGGTCGGCCATTTTGCTTGAAGCCAGGGGACTTGGAAAGCGATCAGTGTTGGTTCAGGCGTGCATGGACGCTTCAGGAAGTCAGCCATAATTTTATCATCGGTGGGGTGAATGGAAATCACTGGATAGATGAAGACATGTGAACAGGGTGTGAAGGACAACTACAATCATTGCAGGACATGAGCAATGGGAGCATTTTCTACATCCTGTCGCAGATGCGGAATCATGTATCAACAAAGCCTCTGGATAAGGTAGCAGGCCTGGCATATCTCCTCCGTCGAAAGTCTATCCCAATATACAATGAGTCACAATCAGAAGAGGATGCCTGGGTAGCACTTACAGAGGTGATGTGTGAGCGGTACCGCATGGAGTTGCTCTTTTTATACCCTGAGCCTGGGAATGGACGCAGATGTTGGCAACCATCATGGAACCAGGTAATGGCAATGGTAATTGTACCAGAGACTAGGATTCGTCTCTGGAAAGCGGAACTTCGGACTGACGAGACAGGTGTTGACTCATATGAGGGTGCCTGTATCAAGTCAGGTCATCTGCAAGGATTAGGTGATGCATCATACAATGGGATACCTCGACAGGGCGAGTTGGTGGTTAAAGATCGAATCGGGGTACCCCGTATACTCAAGATCGTCACTGATCACACATACCTGATCCCTGATGGCTTGTATACTTTTATCAGTGATAGTTATCATTCCCGTGATTACTATGAACCATCATTACATTGGGTGGTTGGGCAGCAACGACAGGATGGGAAGTTTGAAAAAGTGTTGGTAATCAAACTTCCAGATCTTGACAAAGATTGGAAGCTTTGTCCCCTTGGTGATGCACAAGTCCATGCCAAAATGGTTCTTTGCTGAAAATGGGATAATGTCTTGTTTTGGGCAATAGTACTGACAGAGAGGCAGCATGAAGAGCAGGGCTGGGGCATCGCTTACACTTAGAAGTGGTCTTATAGTCTCAATTTTGTTTCTATATCTCTCAACCTGCTTTCTTAAGCTATATCCTCAGTATTTCCATGTCTATTGCATGCCTCGGCCTCGATCCTCCACTAAGCAATCACAGAAGTAGGTAAAAAGGAAATGAGGACCTGGTGATTTCTCCCTTTGACATTGACCTAATATTACGATTTCGCACCTCATCTTATCTTATCGACTCCATCATAATCATGCTATGCTAATCATCCGACTTGGATCGCACTACACCATGCAGGTACCACGTGTTTAACACACCACTACAGACTCTTGTACTATATTTAGAATGACTCAAACTGTATTTAAGTAGCTCGACTGCAGGTCTTAAACCTCAGTCTCAAACTAAAGTTTATTCACCCGATAACTACTTGAACTCACTCTCAAATACTAAGTGTGCACGCTCCCTGAGAACAAACCTGCGGACAACATAACGTGCCTAACCGAAGTGCGAGTCACATGTAGTTGTTTGATCTTGTTTGTTCAATCGGTTGCTAACAATTAGTTCGAGACTTTCCTAACTCTTCACCAACGTTGACGTTGACGAAGACAAACGAATGAACCCCATCGAACAAACCATAACCGACTTCATTGGACTGCAGGGCTTCATCGCCTTAGCGTACCTCACCTTTTTATATGGATATGAATACAGACGAAACAGGGAAGCTATCCCCACCGAAACCGCCATCCCGGAGGATGAGTGACAAGAAACACCCCCCCCCCGTCTTACAACGGATCTAGTGAAGACTTCCCCCTCCATTTCATTGTCATCTCAGACAGCGAGATCGACGAGTCCGATGTGGGAGGATGGACTGCACCAGAAAGCCCAGTCTCTACAATCGAAGACGAGCCAAGATGGTTCATCTCGAGGGGGCTGGACGAATATTTTCTCACTCCCATCGAAGAAACAGAAGAAAGGGAAAGAGAAAGAGGGAGCCCCTCACCCACCTCCACAGAAAACTCAGCTGCCTTCCCTGGATATGATTCCAACGGTGACCGCCTCTATCAGAGAGGACTTAGATATCATCTGGGAGAAGGAAGAGAGACTGAAGGTGGAACTAGAAGTGGTAGCAATGAGGAAGAGGGAGATACAGAGGAAGACAATACCGGCGAGCTTAACCTCGAGCTCCCAGGCCCAGGAACCAATTGGTCCCCACCGAGGCTCGACTCATGAGGAGAAACCTGGGGGTACCAGTATCGAGCAAGGGACTGAACACCAACCTTCTCCCAGCTCAGATCGCACTTCGCACCAACAGGAAACCCCAAAACCCCAGTCCTCATTGATGACCGAGCTGATGCAGCCACCACTGAGCTTGATGAGTGCAGACCAACCTATGATGCTGACACCAGCTGCGATATATGCCAACAGCTTCAGGACTTCACCAACGCCCAGCTCATGTTTGAGGGAATCAAACCCCCATTGAGCGTCATCCCTTTCGTCATCTACCCCCTTGCAGCAGAACATCCCCTTGCAGCCCCTGTCCCCTTCCCAGCACCCTTCCTATGGGAATGACCCCTATGACCAGACTTCCACCAAGTCTTATGAAGGGTCGAAGAGTGGGGAAGAATCATTCGAAACTGGAACCAGGTCATCACCGGAAGCAGTGAACCCTTCGAGAGAGTATGACCAGTTGGTTTACAATGAAGAAGAAACCTATGAGAGGCATGGCAGTGGGCCACCCTCGATTTGGACAACCAGCACCGCCGAGGCGAGTATAGCAAGGATGACACGATCCTGGAATTCGTGGAAGGATCTAGCTCAGGAGCCTACTGAGGCCGAGCTGGAAGTAATGATGTATCTAGAAATGATGCAATGGACCCAAGAGAAGATCCAGAGGGAGATATTGTGGAACGGAAGCGACCAAGGAAGGTACTTCCAAAAAATGCGAATGACACGCATCGGAGCTGAAGTACTATACCGGGAAACACTTTTCCATGCCAATCTTTTATGGAATCGGGTACACCCGGATGACTACGTGGAACCAGGACAATGATACCCCATACCACTGCCATCAGAAACTTCTGATGGAGAAATGGTGGATCTGAGCCACCTATCCATCCTGCAAAGAACTGGCTACGTGGACCCGAGTCGCCTATTCGCCATGGCAGGCACCCCAGGATTGCAAGGACCAGCCCCAGTACCAGTACCTGCGGCACCCGCAGCACCCGGTGCACCTCTAACACTGCATCATGACCCTGCCCTACGATCGCTGCCTAGACCAGGCACTATACCTATACCACCAGACCCAGTACAACCCCCAAACACGCCACCACCCTACATCATGGGGACAGCCAACACAAACCCATGGGCCCTGGTAAAGCCGCAGCTCGCGGCCATCCCAGAGAAGTTCAAGGGGGCATCCAATGATGTAAATCGATTCTTCAATCAATGCGAAGACTACTTCACCGTATTCCCACAGCAATTCACCATGAACACACACAGGCAAAGCCCCAATAGAATCGTGTTCTGCATGTTCCTACTAGCAGAAAAGGCTTTGCACTGGTGGGACTACGTACGGGATGACTACAACAACGAAACCTGCGGACACCTATGATATCCACCCTACCCCACGTTCAAAAAACTGGTAGAAGAGCAATTCCAAACTGACACGGAGGTAGAACTCAAGCTACAAGAGTTCAAGAGGCTCCAACAGTCCAATTACAAGTCGGCCAAAGACTTTTTCCATGACTTTGAATGACTGGCAAAGGAATCCAGGAAGCGCCACAACGAGGAGTACATGATCGAACTCCTCAAACCGGCAATCCGGAAAAACATAAAAACCGCTATACACGCCACCAGAACTGCTCTACCCTGCACATATGTGGAATGGAAGTTCCAGGTGGAACAAATGGACTACAACTACCGAGTCGGATTAGCAGAAGATGCCGGAAGAAGTCAGGGAAGTCAGGGACAGCAGAACAAGGGAAAAGCCGGAAGCTCCAGGAATTCCCAGACCGACAAGAAGACAGGAATGGGAACCACGTACGGGGGACAAGGACAGCCAATGGAGATCGACCGCCTTCGAAAGGAAGGATGCTGCTTCCGGTGCGGTCACAAGGGACATCAGAAGCAGGACAACAAGTGCCTGAAGGACGAAAGCACTTGGCTCGTCAAACACCAACCCAAGTTCTCCCGAGCCAAAGTATGAGCCATGTACCAACAAGTGTTGAAGGACGAAGAGGCAGAAGCATCGACATCAAAGATTGAGGAGGTAAAAGACGAGCCGGCAGTGTAAGCGACAAACGCGCATCGGCTAAGGACTTAATTTCATTTTGTGGTGCGTCTTCAAACCCCACGGGTCAGACTAATAAATCGCTTGTAGTATCTCTGAGCAATACATCTATTTTCACGCATTCACAAAAAGAAGTTAACCAGTCACATAAAAAAGACGGTGTACAGGGGATTTCCACCGTGCTCGAAGAAGAACCCCATTCAAGCTCCTTGGCCACTGGTGCTGGTAACACAGCGCAAACTGTTAATACGGTGCAAGGCAGCAGGATACCTGGGATCAACATCACTCTGTCGAGGGCAGGTGATGGTGCAGGGAACAGAGGAAGAGCGGCTGAGTCCACAGCGAGCAGTGAAGAAACCCACTCAAGGATGGCATGTATGCGCCAGACATGAGTGACCGACTGCCCTCACCATGGAACAGAGCCACAAGAGGAAATGCGAATCCCCAGCAAGACAACCACCGCCCCGCAAAGAACAGTCCAGATGAACAGGGACCCCATCCATTCTGAACCTCACTATATGGTGCGTCTACCTCCTCTCTCGCTGACACATAATGGCACCGAGGGCTCGTGTTCCTCGGTGGGCGGGTCGGTGGGACCATTATGTGCCTCCCCTATTTCCAATAAAAATACCATTGCTCTTGAAGAAGTGCCCGATGAGGAAGACGACTATAGTTATCAGCAGAGCCTCAAAACGCGTCAGAAAGGGGAAGACCCGGTGATCCATACCAAGGAGTACCCAGAAGACTACGAAGTAACGGAGTTAGAAGAGGAATATTACGAGGACAAGTGGGATAAAGGGTGGCTCAAACCACACAGCGCCGAGTGGGTGAGGTGAAAAATGAGGCAGGAAAAAACCATGGAAGGAAAGCTCGCCACCCTTCGCATGTGGGTACACCTGAGGTGTTTAATAGAAGTAGACGAAGATCTTGTCCTAGATCTTGTCGGATCTACCCAGGAAACTTACAAACAATGGGAGCAGTGTCTACAAAACATGGAGGACTTATGCATTCCCCTGCAGTACATCCGAGGGGGAAAAGGGAGGAGCGTTAACATCCGAGTACAACTCGAAACCTTGGATACCAGCCAGGTGCGAGCTGTAGACGCCTTGGTGGACAGTGGGTGTACAGGAAGCTGCATAAACTGATCCTTTGTGCAGGAACACCAACTCAATACGGTAAAACTAGCCAAAGCCCAGGCAGTCTATAACATGGACAGGAGTCGAAATAAAGGAGGAGACATAACAGAAGTAGTGGAACTCCGGATGACCATTGGGGACCACCACGAGAAGTTAGATCTCGCCATCATTGACCTAGGAAACATACCAATGTTCCTAGGTCATGACTGGCTCAAACAACACAACCCGATCATCAACTGGAAAACCAGGGCTGTCTCTTTGGTATGATGCTCGTGTCGCAAAATACCATTCCTATTACCCAATGAAGATCCGGAGCAGAACTGGGGAACCGAAGTAGAAGAGGGAGATACTATCCTGATTGTGGACTTTGAAGAAGCATTCCACGTTCGAGCCATGGGAAGCAAGGCCAATGAGTTAGCTGCCAAAGCAAACCAAGCCAAGGAAACAAAAACGTTCGAAGAGATAGTACCGGAATGTTATGGTTTATTCATTTTTCTTCATTTTCTTTTGTTCTACTCAG